CAATAATAAAAGTTATGTCAATTTGACTCGTGTTTCCATGCACTGTTTTGCTAAAAAAAATATAATTCAGTATGACCACCAATATTATGTGTAGACCAACCTCAACGTAGAATTTTTTATACTGGTATATTTGATTAATTGAAATGCTTCGAAAAGTCACATGCCATTCCGAATTTCCCAGTAGCACTGGGACGAAGTATTGACGGATCCCACAGACTTATGTGACACTTGTCGATATGGTTAGTTTCAAAATATCAGGAGATAATCAGCTGTTATTCAAATCAGTGTATATGTTTTGTGATTCAAATAACGTCTAATATAAATATAACCCAGAATATGTACTCAGTGAAAAAAGAAAAATATTGCAAATTTCTAGTTTTTCTGCAGGTTTTAGGTTTGCTGGTAGCTCTACGACATATATTTGGGTATTTCTTAATCGCTGTGAATATAGTGTGGATGTTTGTTAAGTTCCTGAACAACGAAAAATATTCAACTTTATGGATGTATGGATATTAAAAAACCAGAATGGTTTTATTGGAATATCAATCTAAGGTGCCATAATGGTTCTGATGCACGGCAAGTAAATTCAAATTCAAATTCAAAATATCTATTTCGTCATGAATGAACATCATAAACAAAAGAAATTCTACATATAGAGTAATGACGAAAAAGGACATCCCGATTATAAAACCGATACATTGGACCCTTTAATACAGAGAGTCCATGCGAGAAAGCCCTGAACACCCTAAAAGTCCTTAAACAAAATAAAAAGAACAATAAAGAGGCAAATGAAGAGGCGGTGAAACACAAAAAGGCAAAAACGAAGAAAGAACCCTCAGGAGCTGGCAACGGACGCGAAGAACAAATCTATATAACCTGTCAGCGAGTAGGAATGTAAAAACGATATTTTTGCTCACACAAACGCTGCTAAAGTAGCTGGTGATTCTGTAACAACGTTTTTGTCAGTTTAGAGAATGTTTTTGACGATGAGCTTTTAACTGAAGTTCGTAATTTATTCCATAAGTGAACCGCCACACAGGCAAACGATCGTCGGAAGGAACGCGTTCTATGCCTAGGTACGATCAAATTGAGATTATTTCTGCTTCTCTGGGGACTAGGCAAAGGCACAAATCTTTCTCTTAATTAGGGCGGTTGACCTGTTTTCATAAATAACCCTATAGATAAAAGAATACATGTGATATTTTCTGCGATTCGTCATGTTTAATATGTTGTAGTTATTCAGATAAGGAGTGATATGGTTTCGATATGGAATTCCAAACGCAAATCTCATGCAACTATTTTGAACTTTTTGTATGCATTTTTTGGTTCGCGACGATAGCGAATCACCATAGACGACATCTCCATAGTCGAATTATTATTATTACACAAATAATATTTTTGTTTGGCTGATAAATGTTTTTTTAATTTGTTTATATTTTTTAGTCGCATCTAAGCTAAATTTGTTCTGTTTTTTATATGACTGCCGAAGCCAAGCGAGCTATCAAATATGATGCCTAGATTTTTTGTCTCCTGAACTATGGGGATTCTGTCATTGTTAATAGAAATTACTAAATTTTGTTCAAAATGTTCTCTTTCAGTACTGTTTTTATTCATAACCATTACTCGCGATTTTGAGGGGTTTAGTTTAAGAGTTTAATGCTTTGCAAGTCTGTCAATTCTTTGGAGATCTGAATTTAGTTGTTGTTGTGCAATATGGATTGTGGTTTTATTGACAGGAAGATATATTTGTGAGTCATCTGCATATTGTTTTATCTTTGCGAATTTTACCGATTTGACCATGTCAGATATGTAGATTGAAAATAGCAAAGGAGATAAAATTGAACCTTGAGGAACTCCTCTTTTTATGGGTTTAAAATCGGTTTTGTAAATAGCAGAATCATTTGCTAACATAACACAGTTTGAACGGTTGCTTAACTATGTTTTTATTAGATTTACGGAGTTCTGCGAAAACCCCTAGTAATGTAACTTAGCAAGTAACATTTCATGATTCAGAGTGTCGAACGCTTTACTAAAATCGAGAAGAACCATGCACGTAGTATTTTTTTGTTCTTGATGATGTCTGATATCATCCAAGATATTAACTAATGATGTACTTGTGCTAAAGTTTTCCTAAAACATGATTGACTATCGGGTATGATATCGTTTGTGTCACAAAAAAATCTAATTTGATTATAAATATGCCTTTCTAAAATTTTGGATGTAGCGGGTAATATGCTAATAGGCCTCAAGTCTGTAAATTCTTTAGGTTCTGCTATTTTTGATAAGGGTTTAACAATAGCTTTCTTCCATACTTCTGGAAATATTCCCCCCAAAATACACGTGTTGATTATATTATTCAGCAAGGCATTCGTACAAAATGGGATACATAACTTTAGGTCTCTCATAGAGAAACCATCCTCTCCGCATTTGATGAGATATTAGTTACAATTTTGATTAGACTGGCCCTGTCTAACAGTTGGAAGCTAAGAGAATCGTTAATGTTTACATTGTTTTTGTAAAAATTGATTAATTCTTGGGAAGCAGTGTCTGGTAAATTGTCGGTCTGCTGGAAGTAATTGTGTATGTCATTTACATTTTGTACGTGTTCGGGTATAGTTGAGTGAGTTTTCTTGCATGTTATGTTGAGCTTTTTGGTAGTGTCCCAAAATTCCTTACCTTTCTTTGTTGAGAGTAAGTTAAAGAATGTATTTTTTTCTCGGATAATTGCATGCTTTGTATAGTTCCTTAGTCGTTTATAATATTCAAAATGAGCCTGTGATTTTGATTTTTTAAAGTTTTTATGAGCTGTATCTCTTAGTCTGATTAAAATTCTTATATTTTGAGTTATCCAGGGTACATAAGGTTTTTCGGTTATTTGTTTTGTTTTTATCGGAGCATGTTTATTCAGAACAGTTACTATATTTTTATTAAAGACTTCTATTTTTTGGTCGATTTGGTTTATATAGTAAATATCCTCCCACCCAAGTAGAAACCCTTCATTTAAGAAGGATTCTCTATCTATATTATTGTAGTCTCTATATTTAATAGTCTTTTGTGATTTATTTATTTTTGACTTTCGAAAGGCTGAGTAAATTAAGTTATGATCTGAGAGATTTTGAGAAACTGCCAATGATTTAGAATCGATAGAGATAAGATCCTGACTAGCACAGATTATATCAATGAGGCTAGCCTCTCTTGTGGAAAAATTGAATCTTGTTGGCTCACTGATCCTTTGTGATAAGTTAAAACTATGAATTATATTTTTGAGGCGATTTGTGTATGCAGAATTATTTAAAATGTTAATATTTAGATCTCCTATCAGTAATAAATAATCATATTTGAGACTGACAAAACCGAGAAAATTTTCTAAGGAGTATAAAAAATAAGTGACACTATCAGAAGGCGAACGATAACTATTAACTAAAAGATAAGTTTTTCCACCTATCTTAAATTCTATACCTATGGTGTCTGCACAGTTAATTTCCACATTTACCCTTGATTATTTCAACCCGCCTTTTATGTATAAAGCTACCCCTCCTCCTCGACCATGCCTATCATTCCTTATAAATTTGTACCCAGGCAAGCAAAAACTCTCGCTTCTTAAAGTTGGATTGAGCCATGTTTCAGAAACTCCAAAAATATCAAAATTGTATTCTGTCATATAATTACAGAATTCGTCAAATCCAGAATTTATGGATCTGATATTTAGATGTCCGACTGTGAAATGGTTTTGATGTGGACCATCAAATGTTGATTCATCATTAACACTCTCCACTCGCTGACCCATGTTATCATTATCCATTATCCCTCATTTCCTCACTATTGCCAGTCCCCGAAGACCAATCCCTGCCATCCCAATGCCCCCGCGTCAACATATCACCTCTATGTAACACTATTACAATTTTGTTCTTATTTAATTTTGTAAATGAGACTAAACCTAACAACCTACAAATCATTGCCATTCTTAAGTACACATGCGTACTTGCATACATACCCTCACAGCAATGCGTTATCTGTGTCATTAGCAGGTCCAGAGACACAATTTATGTTTTTCCCAAAAATTAACAGAATTAAGTCCATAACTTGCTGCGAAAAATAAAAACTGAAACCACTGCCACCTCTTTTGAGGTTTTTCCAAAACGCAAAGAGTATAGAAAGGAAACAGAAATGCATTATTTATTCTCTTAATTTAATTATTCTTGGCATGTATTTAGAAACTAGGCATGTTTATTTTATTTAGTGTCCATAAAATTACTGTAAATGGGCAAAGTATATGTGTATGGACTAATAAATTCTTTTAAAATTATTGCATAACAACATTGTGATTCGTATTAATTATTATTAAACAATTATTTCTTATTTGTTTAAACTAAAAGTGTAAGAAGAAAATTAATAATAGGCGAAAAGACGAGTAAGCTACATTCAAAGTAGTTAATACTAATACATTTTTTACGACTAGAAATAACGTCTAACACTGCCTACTTTGAAAACATCTACAGTAATGTTACCTTCACGTTAGAATGCTGCAGGAACCACCCCTCCCCCCCACATACCTCACTACACTGCATTGTTTATTGAAAACCTCTTAAACATTAATTGGACCTACACATTTTGTGTAGGTCCTCATCACTGGCGATTCGATGAACTTCATTGTTTTGTTTTACGTAAATATTTCCTTTTAGAATCCACGCATTGTTTTTCGTAAACAAATCAATACATCTTTTAAATAACTTCAGTCGCGATTTAGTCAGATCTTCTTTTATACGAATTCCGGTGTTTTTCAACAGTTTTCGATTTTTCAAAACCGATGCCCGTGAATCGCAGGAGGTGAACCGTACCAGCACGGCCGACGTACTGTTATTTGAGTTTTTGTTTGGTATGCGATGGTATTTGACTATATCTTTTTCTTGTATGTTTACTTTCAGTTTGTTTTGAAACAGATTCACCATAACATTACCAAAATCTTCCGCTTCCTCTTCCTTCAGCCCAAATATTCTGACATTTTGGGATCTCTCCATTTGCTCTTGATCGTCCATTTTCATGATGAGACGTCTATTATCCCTTTCCAAATTCTCGACCCTGTCACAAAGAGTCTCTATTTCCTCCTCGTTCCTGTTAAGTCTTTCTTCAAACTGCTTTTCTACCAGTTGTAAGACTTTACTCACAATTTCTTGTACAAATTTTTCGTTGCAGGTATTGATGATTGTTGACTTGATTTCGCGCATATCGGTTGTCGATAACCCCATAATGGCGACGAACTAGTTGCTATTGACAGTTCTCAGGAATAATGAAGATTTTCACTATTTCAGTAGTTTCAGGCACTTATTTCTTCACAATTTTTGTGGGATATTGTAAAAACTTAAAGATGCACTGCAACTTTTCGATTAAACCTATTTGTAAACTCAATTATTTCGGAGGCCACACATGCAGTACTATCTTACTTGCGCGCCATCTCTGTAACTAAATGAATGATTGTTTGGAAACGAGCAATATCTATGAACTTTTTGGTAGAGCCAGTCATCAAGTAGGTGCTTAATGGCTATCTGCAAGAGGTTTATAGGAAGAAACAACCAGTAGATGATCTTGAATCGGTAAAATCGCATATCAATTGAAAAAAATAATATAAACATGAATAAAAACTCAGCAATAGTAATTAAATCATGAATTTTATTCAAAAATCAAACATTTGTTTAAATTTTGACTGAATTATATGTAATTTCTTAATATTCAATAAGCTGATGATGTTTCAATGACAAGATGTCATCTCATACTTTGACAGTATTTTGTTTTCAACATTTCATAGCTATTGGTTGCTAAAATTTGTTGATTGGAATTTGAAGCTCATTCGCTGTATTTGACGGGCTGTTACCCTATAGATGGAGAATAACGGACTGTTGTTGATGAAATTGGCCCTAAATATGGTAAAAACAAATTTGACTAAAGAAAATGCACGATTTCAGTAACAACAAGATCAACTGAAAAGACAGCCGTACTTGAGAGAGGAAATTTACAATACACATGCTGCATGTTATCTGCCTAATCAATTATCCAAGAATGATATGTCTCGTGTGGTGTCTTCAACGAAACATATGCCAGAACAATATAAGCAACTATTCAAACGATACTTTGATTTACCTCAACGAGCACAACACAGCGATACAGATTCTGATGACACTCTGGGCAACTGAACTCACATTTTACCATTTTTTTTTCATTGTTCACAATAGTTTAAATAAGTCTGGAATGTGGCAAGTATTTCGTTATTTCTTTTTTTTTTCCTAAAGTAGTGTCTTATATAAAAAATCAAATGGTAAGACTGTTATTCTCATTTTGTTGTTTGATCTCAGTCTATCTTACACACACAATCACATTCAAGATGATAATTTCATACTTGTGCAGTAACTGTTGGAGAAATTCTGTATCCGTATATATTTGGATTCCATCATGTGACAATCAACTGCAACAAAATGCAAGAGGTAATTGTCGTAATTCTACTACTGCTACTGGTCGTGGTGATGGTGTTGGCCCACTGAGAAGACCTCAATATTTTAACCTTAACCATAGACGGAGGCAAATGATTCATTGCTATATATGTTAAAGTGTCACTGTTTGGTTACTAAAGGAAGAGTGATTGCCCGTTTTTTTTTTGTTTTTTTGTTTCGATAATGCATGTACATGTGAGCCTTTCGCTGAATCGCTACGCTACGCCATCGAATATGTTTTGTCTATTGAATATGTTTTGTTAACTTCTGGCGACCGTAAATATTCCGATGTGCTGCGATGTGTTTTTGTGGGCAAGGTGGTTAGTCATAGTGAGTCTTGTAACAGATGCTGGAGTGAATACATGTGATACAAGTTATGAAGTGTTTGATTTTCCCTAAGAAAATGATAATTTTCTCACATCAGAAGTGGGATTCAACTCGCTAAAAGGACCACAGAAGAAATACATAGTGCAACCTGACTTATTTCGAGTGTGCGTGCGTTACTTTTGGCAGTGATACTTAAGTGCTAAAAGTCTGTCGAAATGGAGGAGTTAACCAGTGTTTTAACTGCAGTTCTTCGAGGAATTCAGCAGAAACCCCAACAAGCCGCAGCGGCACCGGTGGTGCCAGCACCCTCTGCGCCAATTAACATTCCAGCTTTCGATCCCTCAAAAAGCGCTGCGGGAGCGATGGGTTGGTGCGACGATATGGAGACCTTGGCGACCACGTTCAAGTGGACTGATTTTGAACAGCTTTGCAGAGCCGCGGGTGCCCTGGAAGGTGACGCAAAGGATTGGTATGACAACTGGCACCCATCAAATAAAGTTTGGGCTAGTTTCCGGGCCGAGCTTTGTCAGCTTTATCCTGCGAAGAGGAATCTTAGTGAGCGGTTACGTAAAGCTAGTATGTACAGAAGTGACCAAGCCACGGGATATTGTGAGTACGCAAGGAAAAAAATATCTTTGTTAAACTCTCTAGATTTTAATTTGAGTGATAGTCAAATAGTTGAGATAGTTATTGGTGATATAACGGACACACATGTCAAAACAGCTGCTTTTAATAGTAGAGTTGATTCCATTTCGACCTTACTTAACTTGCTTAGCAACTATCAAATTAATAAACAAGACTCTCAGCTTCAAGTAGGGGCGCCAAAACGCCCGAATCCGTTTAAACATAATGATGAGGGAAAAATATGTTATTCCTGTAAACAACCTGGTCATATCAGCCGGAATTGTTTTAAATCGCTTAAATTATTTAAATACGATAATACTAATAAGGCGAGAAACTCAAATAATCTGCCAAGTATTGCGAGACCCTGTGAGATCTGTACGAAATTCGGGCATAATTCTGAAAAATGCTTCTTCAAAAGTGAAAATAAAGCAGAGAAGTCGTCCAGATTCTCCAAAATAAACTATTTCTGCGTAGATCTAGATAATGACTTTTGCATAAAATTCAAAATACAAAATTTGACCGTAAACTGTTTGATCGACACGGGTGCAGAATGTAGTTTGCTATCCGAAAAAGTCGTCATTTCGAACCAACTTTCATAATGTTAAAGGGTGTAGGAGGCAACTCAATACCAAGTTGTCAAAGGGCTAAATTACTAGTTGAGAGAGAGGGGACGGCATTTGAAATTAGTTTTTATGTTGTCGAAACTTCTGTTATGGAATTAGATGCAATTTTGGGTAGAGATTTATTCAATCATAAAGGAATCAGAATTTGCACTGACTCATGTGGGTTTAGAATTTATCTCGATGACACAAATAACATAGAATCTAAAAAGATTCAAAACGTAACAATTTCTCCCGAGAAAATTCAAACACCACTGAATGGACATGATTTCGACGCCTTGTTGAAATTATTATCAAAATATAGCGATTCTATAACTGTTGGTAATTCCGTGAGGGCGGTAACAACCGGTGAAATGGAAATCAAATTAAAAACCGATAAAATAATTTGTTATAACCCTTACCGAATGTCATTGTCCGAACGAGAAAAGGTAAAAGATATTATTGACGACCTCTTGCAAAACAATATCATACGTGAAAGCACGTCGCCTTTTGCTAGTCCAGTTATTCTGGTGTACAAAAAAGATGGCAGCCGACGTTTATGCGTAGACTATCGCGCCCTTAATGGAATAACCATTAAAGATCGGTTTCCATTGCCACGTATAGACGACCAAATTGATCAGCTGGGGGGAAGCAAGTATTTTACGACTCTCGATATGGCAGCGGGGTTTCATCAAATTCCTATGGCTGAAAACTCTATTTCCAAAACAGCTTTTGTCACGCCTGACGGGCATTTTGAATACCTGCGTTCACCATTTGGTCTATCGAATTTCCCTGCAATATTTCAACGGGCGATTTGTAAAGCTCTGGGTAAGCTCAAAGATACCGATGCGCTGGTTTATATGGACGACGTAATCATTCCATCAAAAACCATCCAGACAGGTTTAGAAAAACTCGATCGGGTCCTAGCGTCCCTTACCTCAGCGGGCTTCAGCTTAAACATTAACAAATGCAAATTTTTTCAGAAAAAAATTGTTTATCTTGGTCGAGAAATTTCCGAAGATGGTGTAAGGCCCGACGAAGGAAAATTAAAAGCTTTATTCAATGCGCCCGATCCAAAAAGTGTAAAACAGGTCCGCCAATTTATGGGCCTAGCCGGGTACTTTCGCAAGTACATCCCTGAATTTTCAACGCGCACAGCTTGTATTACAAACCTAACAAAAAAAGGAGTCTTGTAACAGATGCTGGAGTGAATACATGTGATACAAGTTATGAAGTGTTTGATTTTCCCTAAGAAAATGATAATTTTCTCACATCAGAAACAAAATAAATTAATGAAAAAAAAAAAAAAGTTTTGGGTTGAAAGACGTGCTCTTTGCATCAAGGTAATGAGACCTTGACTGCTGAAATGACGTGCTCTTTACCTTGCTGGTTAAAAAAAACCTTGCTACTTGTTGAAAGACGTACTCTTTGCGACAAGGTCATTAGGACTTGATCGTTGAAATGACGTGCTCTTTGCAATAGTGAGTGATGTATCGTTAAAAGCTGAAAGACGTGCTCTTTGCGTTTAGATCGTGAGGGTCTAAACGTTGAAATGACGTGCTCTTTGCTACATTATATAGTCTAAATGGTGTTCTTGTAACATGGGTCAGGAGGTAAAATTCGAGAACGAATTTAGTGTCAGGATTGGCCGTGTGAGCCTTTCGCTGAATCGCTACGCTACGCCATCGAATATGTTTTGTCTATTGAATATGTTTTGTTTACTTCTGGCGACCGTAAATATTCCAATGTGCTGCGATGTGTTTTTGTGGGCAAGGTGGTTAGTCATAGTGAGTCTTGTAACAGATGCTGGAGTGAATACATGTGATACAAGTTATGAAGTGTTTGATTTTCCCTAAGAAAATGATAATTTTCTCACATACATATATGCTATTAAATAACCGTTATATCAAAGTGTTTTTTTTATCTCGGCTATGCTCGAGAATCCGCTGTTATCGGATACCACACACACTGAACACTTCGCAAATGTATCACAATAATGGAAGCTTATTATCAGCTTGGCTACCTAGCTAGCACAACTGACATTGTGTTATACTATTTGGATACAGAGGTATCGGTTTCGGAACACGATACAGACAACCTTTTTTCTATAATTACAATATTTGAATTTAGCGCCAAAAATTACGTCACAGTACTACTACAGTTTAAGCTCGTCCGCAGAAATTACGTTACAACGAACTTGCGACGCGTCTTCAG